GCATTTATCACCCATTTGGCGTTAATGTGCTTTGATTGTTCCACCGAGTTGCGTCACAGTTACATTCTGAGGTGAGAATGATTCTCCCGCCGACAAATGCCTCAGCACTTGCACGAAACCGCCAAGCATTGTACATTAGGTGCATATGAAGCAACCCCCGTTTCTGTGCTTACAAGAGTAAACGCGACAAATTCTAGTGCAAAATATTTTCATAGTCAATGTGTAATTCATTCTGTAATGTTGAATTTTTTTGTTATTGTGCCAATGAATATAAAGGATAAGTGGAAATGAAATATGATTACCCTCACCACATCCTGCAAATTTTTTCAAGATTATAACTGCATAGCATAATTTTTATTTTCCTCTCTCGAATTAACCTCGTGTGTTAAGCGAATACTTTTCAGACTGGAGGCAATTGGGCACAAATAAGGAATTAAAGGAAGCAATTTTATAATTGCATGCATATTAGCTTCTGTCCAGCCTTTCACTTGTGACCACAATCCTTGCACAGTCCACATTGTCCACCCGAAACAGTGGCTTCCATGTAAAATTGGCCAGTGAGTTGGCCTACAAAGTGCACAAAATTTTTATAATTTTTCAATCTTTTTCATTCCTACTTAGAAGTACAACATTTACCCCTTCGGTGGGCAAAAACTCATACGCATCACCCTTGCGTACGTTGGATGCTACAAAAGTAATTGAGTAAATTTAAATTAGCACACTGAGTGTTTTACTCTTCCAAAGTGTTGGAATGAAAAAACCTACTTAACATTATCAATCTGTTGTTGAATGTGACAAGCGATGTGTATTGCCTCCACCCCTTATCAACTCCATGAAGGCGAGTCCACTGAGCTGTGGGCTGCTCAACTGATGTCAGGGGAAGAAATTCAACGGTGAGCTCTCTCCCTGAATTCTCTCCAGCAACCACCACGCATCCATTGAAGTAGGCAATTCCTGGCTTTGCGCGTCCCTCTAGCATCGGGTTGAGCTTAATCCATCGCCATCCGCTCTCATCCAAAGGATCTTCTGTCAGCATTTCAGCAGAATTTGAAACATATTCATTGTATCCACCAACAACTACGATTCCGATATCTGGGATATTTAAGGCCGAAGTATCACCACGAGCTGATGGCATATCTGGGAGTCGAGCAAACCTAAAATGGGTGACCTAGCTTCATCAAACATACTCGCCGGTGGTGGTGTCCAATTTTTTGCAAGTACGAATTGGATGGCCTTGTTTTAAGTAGCCGCCAAAAATGAAGATTGATTCATTTCTCGCCGCGACGGAATACCACTCGCTTTTCTCCCCTTTGAAAGGGAATTTGGAAACGCAGCCATTTCGGTAATTCACGGGCCAAAAATGACTTTTGTCATCAAAAAGATCGAAGGCATAATATTTGCCTAGAAGGCTGGGGAATAATACCACCTGTTAAATTTACCATTCAGTACAGTCGATGCATTATGCCATGGAACTTCAACATTAAACGATTCGTCCGTTGCAACTGTGGCACAGACCTCAAAATGTGCGGTTCCAAGTCTGTAGCCTTTCCGACGATCATAAGCACCTCCCTAGATATTTTCAAAGAATCAGCATAATGTGGGCGTACAGGGCATCATTAAGATTATGCTAAAGGCAATTCTGCGGTGTCAGATCATAAAAATAGGAGAACTTATCGAATCGGTTAGTCGGATTTTGAAAGAGTGGTCACGATGTTAGCAGAAATGATCTATGTACTTGCAACGTGATGGACGGATGGAGGAATGGTGAGGCATCCGCTCGATAGCGTTTCCGTCTGACTTCATTCCAGGGCTTGGCGAAGTGTCTCCTAAGAAAACGTAAGGAAGAGGCGTAAATGGTGTTTTGAGAAGGAGTGGTAAATAGAGTGTCATCGTTTAACTCAAGTCCCATCTAGGATCCCCAAATTAATTAATCCATCATCCTGTATTTAATCAGCATTCATGCATCCAACCATTCCGTGTTCACTCATCTATCTTGCATTCATCCATCACCATTCATCCATTCACTTATTCCTCCATCCATCCCTTAATCTAACAATCTGATCTGAATCCATTCATCGCAATGTCCTTCATCCCTCCTCCAGTTTGTGTGCCTTAATGCATCAAATAGTCATCCATCGAAATTGTTCATCCCTTGCACTCACTCACTATTCACGCCTTCACCGTGCTTACCTGCAGTACACGATTTGGAGTATTTCCGCACAAATTTCCAATATTTGGTTTGACTCGGTGGAGACAGCTTGGGCAAGTCAATCTTGGAAATCATCTTTGTAAATGCCTCTACCCTTTCCTTCACATCACACCCCTTGCATCTTGCATCCAGCCATTTGGAAATCGCTTGAAACTTGATTTCCTCACTCATACCTCCTTGCCAAATCCTCTCCAACAGGACCTCAAAGTACTCCGCTGTCGTC